GATGTCCCTCTCCAAACACCAGCCACTCCAGCATCACCATGCTGAGAGGTAAGACTGTCTTGTTCCTGGGGCCCATGAATCCCATAGGAGTCTTCGAGCAGTATCCGAAAGGTCAGAGACGTTCCAAGATCCCCTGAAATGGTCCAAGCCACCAATCAGAGGTGGCCATGCATTGCTAGTGGATGGAAGTTGCCTGACGGATCCTTGAGAAGATCGTAGGCGGTGGCTAGAAGAAGGGGATAGTCCACTGACATTTCCAGGAGGGGAACCATGGTTGGGTTCACAACAGCGGGGTCATCAGTGTTATCGTGATGCCCTGTGTTTTGAGATATTGTATCGTGTGTGGGATCATGGAGAAAGGGGGGAACTAGACGCAAACAGGTCCAGGGTGAATGGCCCTCTAAGGAGCTGGAGACACTGAATTATTTGTGGGTCCAGTTGCCAATCGCTGGAGTCCCTCCAATGATGGGAAAGCCAATCTGCGACGAGGTTGTCAGAGCCTGTTAGATATTCTGTACGAAGGAAGATGTTCCTGTCCAGGCAGAATTGGTACAGTTCTTTCGTCAGATCCGATAACATCTTTGATCGGGAGCCACCTAGGCGGTTCACATACTGTACTGCTGACACATTGTCCATTCTCAGGATAAGGCAGCAATTGTAGGCGTCCTTGGCAAAGCTGTGGATTGCGAAGGAACCAGCAATTAGTTTGAGGCAATTGATGTGTAGTGCTTGTTCTGATGGGGACCAGAGGCCTCCGGTAGACTGTTCTGAGCAGGTGGCACCCCATCCGAGGAGGCTGGCATCCGATTCCAGAGTGAAATTGGGTTGTAAACCGAAGATAGCCCTTCCGTTCCAGGCTTCCATATGTTGAAGCCACCAGTTGAGTTAAAGTCGGACTTAGTCAGTGAGAAAAATCTGTTAGTCGTAAGATGTTGAGCGATATAAGTAACGTGTCTTCAAACATTGCATTGCTTGATAATCTAGTGGGGCTGGGAATATTGCCTGGATTGAGGCAGAGAGTAATCTGATTATGCAAGCTAAATCCTGGAGACTAACAATCTCCGGATGTCCTTTTTGATGGTTTTAATTTTTGTAGCAGGGAGTTGCAGAACTGCCTGAACAAAATCTATGTTCTGCAACTGCCTGAAATCCTAGAAAAAGTACCGTTTGAGACGGGGTTAAAAATGATTTTTGGAGGTTGATTATGAATTCCAGATTCTGGAGAAAAACCAAAGTCATGTTTGTATGAAGACGTAGAGTCTCTTCATTGTGAGCCATAAGGAGGATATCGTCCAGGTATATGATGGATCGATTCCCTTGTGAACGTAGTAGTGCCATCACCGGTTTCATTAGTTTGGTGAAGCACCAAGGTGCAGAACATAGTCCGAAGGGGAGACAGGTGAACTGCCACAGTTCTTGACGCCAACTGAATTTAAAGAAGGTGCAATGCTTCAGTGTTACTGGTACCGTGAGGTATGCATCCTTGAGGTCAAAACGAGAGAGCCAATCTCCCTCGCAGAGAAGGTCTCGTAATAGATGTATGTCCTCCATCTGGAAATGTCTGTATTTGATGAATTTGTTCAATTCTCTTAATTTGATGACTAGAAACATATTGCTCACGAAACCTCGTGGCGTGAGGGATTTCGAAAGCACCTTTGGTGACTAGTTCGTTGAATTCGACCTGTAGGGTCGTGTCGTCCATTTGTGAGCGGAAATTTGAACTGGGTCCTTTGTAAATTCTAGGGGGAAACCGGACATGGTCTGAAGGATCCACGGATCCTGTGTGAGTCGAGACCACTGTTGGGAAAGATGGATTAATCGGCCTGCGATAGGTACATGAGAAAAATGAGAGTCCATTACCTGTAGCAGTGCGACCGTGGATGGAAGCCCATCCACGTCTTCTAATAGATCCACGAGAGGGAAAGAAGTGTTTGTCGTGGAAACAGGTATTGCCCGAGTTCCAGTGATCCGATAGTCGAGGCCTGTAGCCCGTGAAGACAGCTCTGCCAGCCGTTTGGCCTCTGTGTTGGCTGGCTCTCCCAGAAAAATGCGGGGTCCTAAATACCTTGCATAGAGAAAATTGTGCTTTAGTAAGCGTTGTAAACACAGAGACGTGTTTACTCAGTTCTTTAATAAATTTGTCTCCAAACAGCATACCTTGTGCCTCAGGCCCAAGCTCTTTGGTGCCTAATTCAACAAGCTTAGAATCAATTTTGTATAAGATGGCTTTCCGTCTTTCAGTTGATATGGCGACATTGGCGTTGCATAGTAGGCATAGTGCCCTATGTGTCCATTCTCGCACCATATGTGCATCCAAAGTGCCACCTGATAAAGCCTCATCTGCAATAAGGAATATCTGGATAAGCCTGCAATATCCATAATTTTATCCTGAGTGGCCTTTAA